GGATTTATTATTGGCTCTACTACTTCAATCTATGGAGATTTGGGGCAATTCAATCTCTCTGAGCTTCTATTCTCACCCACACAATGGGAACAGTGATGCCTGCCTTAATTTCACTTACAAAATTGTTTTAAAGAGCAAATTCAATTTTAAAATGTTGGCCTGATATCTGCCATATTCAAGGCATTAACAGAGAATAGAAATATTAGCCAGACCCAAACTCTGCCCTCTAGGAGCTTACAATAAAAGTACATTATATAAGTGGTGGCATGTCATATAAATTTATGTAAAACATTGCCATTACTACATAGAAATAAAACTTTTACAGCATTTTATAATTTGAAATTCAGAAGGCTAGAAACCAGCTTAATTTGTTTCTATACCACATAGAGCAAACTGACTCAAAACAACGCTTTGAGCAGAGTCTGACCACATAATTAGTTAAATAAATTAGAATACAATAAAGGCATTTTATACATGTGTTCAGTATACAAGAACCATTAATAAAAACTCTTAGAAAAATAAGTCATTGAAATATATTTGGTCTCAGTAAGTATCAAGGAAAACTTCAGACCATATCATAGCAAAACTTCTAAGATTCTATTATCTAAAAGGTCATATTATGACCTTTTAAGTGAGTTATATGCCAAATCGGTTTTCTACATGAGGCTCTCAATCCATTATTTCCCAATGACCTAACAAATTTTAACTGAAAAGCAAAACAAAATAAAAACCCTGAAGTGTTGTAGTGAGTTGTAATATGTAAAGACAAGCTGATAAATTTATTCATAAATTTTAAATCCAGCCTTCATTTAAGGTTACATTATCCAACTGTTGCAAAGAGAACACTGGAGATACCAGGTTACAATAATTATGTAATTTAGAGTACATCTGGTAAATAACAAGTTGTCAAATTAGTTTTAAAATAATGAGGCTAAAGTTCTGGCTAAGATGGAGCTATAGGTAGAAATGTTTCCCTTCCTAACACATCCAAAAGAATAATAACAACCAATCTATAAACAATAAACAACCATAAGTGCCAGAAAAAAAAACTGCATGAAACTCTGACAATCATGGAGTTAAAGAAACATTCACCCAAATCAGTAGTAGGGTAGAAATGGGCAGTCAAGTGAAGAGGACACGCAACAAGGTGGCCAACTGTGTGGGCAAGGCAGGGCAGGCTGAACAGGAAACTGAAGACTCCAATCTAGCTGTAAACTACTGTGGGGGTTGTCACAGTGGGAGGAACTCCCAGTCTCAGAGGAGAGAGTTTTTTAGAAAGTGGAGCTAGAGCAGATCAAGCTAGCCTCATTGTTCCCTCTCTGGAGCTTCCCCCATACACAGCACCACAAAGCAGCAAAGAGGGTTGCCCAGCCCCATGGAATAGCTAAGGCTCTGCCCCCTTAGAACATTACAGGTGCACCGAGACATGGCCCAAATGAAAGAACAAACCAAAACTCCAAAAAAGGAGCTAAGTGACAACTTATCAGATGCAGAGTTCAAAACACTGGTAATCAGAATATTCACAGAACTGACTGGGCTCAGTTGGAAAATGAAAGAACAAATGAAGGCTACAGAAAGGAAAATAAAGGAAAATAAACAGGGAACCAAAAGTGATGGGAAGGAAACTAGGACTCAGAACAACAGTTTGGAACAAAAGGAAGAAATAAACATTCAACCAGAACAGAATGAAGAAACAACAATTGAAAAAATGAGGAGAGGCTTAGGAACCCCTGGAACAACTTTAAATGCTCTAACATCAGAACCATAGGGGTGCCAGAGGGAGAAGAGGAAGAACAAGAAATTGAAAACTTATTTGAACAAATAATGAAGGAAAACTTCCCCAATCTAGCAAAGAAAATAGACTTCCAGGAAGTCCAGGAAGCTTAGAGAGTCCCAAAGAAATGAGACCCAAGGAGGAACACACCAAGGCCCATCATCATTAAGTTACCCAAGATTAAAAATAAGGAGAGAATCTTAAAAGCAGCAAGAGGAAAGACTGTCAGCTGATTTCTCCAAAGAAACCTCACAGGGAAGAAGGGGTTGGAAGGAAAGTCATGAAAGGTAAGGTTCTACATCCAAGATAACTCTATCCAGAAAAGCTATCATTTAGAGTGGAAGGGCAGATAAAGTGCTTCCCAGATAAGTTCAAGTAAAGGAGTTCATTATTACTAAGCTCTTATTACATGAAATGTTAAAGGGAGCTATCTAAGAAATAGAAGATGATAAAAAACAATGAACAGTAAAATGACAACAAACTCTAAACTATCAAGAAGTGAACCTAAAAACAAAAGAAGCTAAGCAAACAACTAGAACAGGAACATAATCAGAGAAGTGGAGATCACATGGAGGGTTTTCAGTGGGGAGGAAGAGGGGAAGAATGGGCAGAAAAGGTACAGGGGATAAGAAGCATAATTGGTAGGCATAAAAAAGACAGGGGAAGGTTAAGAATGGTATAGGAAACAAAGAAGTAAAAACATTTATATGTATAACCCATGGACATGAACTAAGGGAGGGGAATTCTGGAGGGCTGGGGGGTACAGGGTGGAAGGGGGATAAAGGGGGGAAAATTGGGAAAACTGTAATAGCTTAATCAATAAAATATATTTAAAAAAAGAATTAAATTATAAAAAATAAAATAAAATATTAAATTAGTTTTTTAATTAAGTAATTTTGGTTCTGCCAATAGACATAAACACCGGACATTACATGCTCCTGACAACTTTCAGAGATAGATCAACATATAAGAACTGAACTGGCATATATGCTCTTAAAATATATTCAAACACTTGAAAACATTAGGTACAGATAAATATGTATACATATATACACATACATACGCATATATCTATGTATCTAATTACATGTATGCATATGTGTGTATTTATATGTATAGATTTGAAACTGCATGTAGTTACTACTTCAGAGTTAAGGAGGTAACCTGTGGGACCTGGATATGGATCAAAGTTCACCAAGGCCCAATATTACCATTAACAAAAAGGGAAAATATCAAAATTGTTAGAAATATCAAAAAGCATTACACACACTTCTTTCAAGTTAAACTTTAATTCAATAAATATATACTCTGAAAGTTCATTTTCATGCATCTGTATACAAACTAAATTATCATCACTAAAATAAAAACAGCACATGACATATTTTGAAAGGGCCAAAATCATTTTTAATAATCATTACTATAAGCTCAGACTAAAACAATCAATTCTGAGAACAATGGGTTTAAAACTCAGTTCTAGTTTGTAGTTTATGAACAGATCAAAAATTCACAAACACTCATCAAGTGCATTTTTAGATTGACTACTCTTATTATTACTTCATTAGAAACTACCTTTTAAAAGTGCTTTTAGTGACTAATGTCTTTATGTTGACATATTTCAACAGTGAGCTTCATTATTAGTAAGAACAATAACCACAGTGCTGATTAAAATGTAAATCATGATAATAGTTTGGTTTATTTGAATAACTGCATGCATAACCAAGCAAGATGTTTGTATCAATTCTTTATGTTGCATGCAAGACAGTTAACATGGCTGATGAGAGTTTCACTGGTTTTCTTCAAGAGTATCTTAGGGTAAAACTTTAAATAACACCCTCTATACACATCCAAGTCAGATAAAATCCAGTTTGGAAAATGATCCTTGTGTAGTTACAATTTTTTATTTGGTGAGGTGACAGATGTTAACTATTGTGGTAGTTATGTTCAGTTACATGCATATATCAAATTATTACATCTTACATCTAAACTTATACAATGTTGTATTTCCATTATATTTCAATAAATTAAGATTAAAAAGTAACAAGAAAATGATTCTCTGAAGAAAATGTGTCCTATTAAATTTATGTCTTTAGAGCATATTTTACTAAATTTAACTCCAATCACATCAGAATTTATGGGAACTTAAATAAAATTTTTCATTTTTTAAAAGATCTTATTTATTTTTAGAGAGAGGAGAAGAGAGGGAGAAAAACATCAATGTGTTGTTGCCTCTTGTGCACCCTCTACTGGAGACCTGGCCCACAACCCAGGCATGTGCCCTGTGTGAGAATAAAACCAGCAACCCTTTGGTTAACAGGCTGGAGCTCAATCCACTGAACTACACCAGCCAGAGTTGAAAATTTCATTTGAAAATACAGTTAAAATGAGTCAAGACTTTCAAATGGAAAAAAAGGCAACTTTTTGTTTCTTCAATTTTTCTTATTTTTTAAATCAGTGAAAGCCAAATTTTAAATTACCATTAAATACGGAAATTGAATATAAAGTCTCAAAAATCTGTTAATGATCTGTCACCAGTGATTAGGCTCAGCAACATTAATTCAGGATGAAAATGAGCGTTTCCAAACTTAGTAAAGTGAAATGACACAGCCAGCACAGACACAAAATGAAAAGTGAACATTAGTTGCAAAATTGAAATTATTAGAGCAGTTAACACAAGACAAGTGAAGTACAGAAATGAAGCTGGTATGAAGAGACCATTATACAATTTAATCATGCTGTGATTTTTCAAGATAAGTTTGATTGCCTAGTTCCTAAAGAAGATACAAATTTTTACTGTGCTTGGTTACATTTGCCGATCATATGACAGGATCACAGCAACATTTTGGTGTGAACCACAAGCATCTTTGGGGTGATCACTAAAATGATTTCTGTGATGTCATGCTGAGAACTTAACATTAAAAATGCAGATGGCATTTTGCTGCCAGGTTATCAGTATAGCTTTACATTTAACGGAAAATCTAATACATCCACTATTTCCTTTTTACTCTATGTTGATTTGTTTTAGTACAACTTTAAGAAAATGATGAAAGGCATTACTGAAAAGAATTATTAGATGCCATAGAAATGGAAGAAGCAAAGTATAACCCAAGCTATATACCTGTAAGTTCTTCAATTACAGATTTTAAAGTCCTAAAGACTGAAAAGCCTGCCAGCAAAATGAAGTAAATGGACAAATAAATAGATCATTCCCCTATACTCATGTACATACCTGGTCTCCCAGAAGGACCCTGGGGCCCAGGGTTCCCTTTAGGGCCTTGTAGAGCTGGACCTGGAGAACCAGGAGGGCCAGGGGGACCCTTCACACCAGGGAAACCAGGAAAGGCTGTTTCACCCTTTGGACCTGGAAGGCCAGGGTTACCTGGAATGCCAGGTAATCCTCCATCACCCTTTTGACCTATGAAAACAAAGTGACATTAAAGAACATATTAAATGATGCTGAGTATTAGGCTGGCCTGTAAGGCTAAAGCTATTTATACTTATTAGAACAAGTAATGGAATATAATAGGGTCATTTCTATCTCTCATCAAATACCCAACATATCCAAAACACTCATTCTTGCCCTGGCTGGTGTACCTCAGTGGATTGAGTGCTGGCCTGTGAACTGAAAGGTCACTGGTTCGATTCCCGGTCAGGGCACATACCTGGCCTGCAGACCAGGTTCCCATTAGGGGCATGCAAGAGGCAACCAAGTGATGTATCTCTCACACATCAATGTTTCCCTCCCTTTCTTTCTTCCTTCCCCTCTCTCTAAAGATAAATAAGTAAACAATCTTAAAAAAAACAATTGTTCCTATTAAATATATCTATTATCAGAAGTGTTTACTAGACTATGTATAGAAATATATAAGCAATAATAGATTGTATACTGAAAGATAGGTTTTGTATCGGGACATAGAGCAATGATCACATGACAAATGGCTGGGAAGAAAAAAGAGATAAAGAATAGAAAAGTATAAAGTATGTGCAAGGTTAGAGATGGCTGGAGGAAATTCCCAAAACAAATGTTTTGTTCTTATAGTTATCCTCACCTGAGGACCTGCTTATTGATTTGAGAGAGAGAGAAAGGGAGGGAAAGAGAGGGAAACACCAATGTGAGAGTGAAACATATTGGTTGCCTCCTTTACCTGCCCTAACCAGGGATCAAATTCTCAACCTAGTTATGTGCTCTAACTGGGAATCACACTCTCGAACTTTTGGTTTATGGGACAACACTCTAACCAACTGAGCCACATTGGCCAGGGCATAAAACAAATGTTTTGAGAATAATTTTGAGGCTAATGGAAGATATAGGTCTTCAATGGTATCTATGTGCCCTCAAAGTTTATTCTATCCAAAATTTAAAATCACAGTCTGCCCTGGCTGGCATTGCTCAGTGGATTGAGCATGGGCCTGCAAACCACACGATCGCGGTTTGATTCCCAGCCAGAGCACATGCCTGGGTTGCAGGCTGGTTCCCTGTAGGTCAGTTTCCAGCAGGGAATGCACGAAAGGCAACCATACATTGATGTTTCTCTCCTCCTCTCCTTCCCTTCCTCTCTCAAAGATAAATAAATAAAATCTTTTAAAAAAATCACAATCTAGACAAACTGTTATCAACTTTTTACACCACCAACATGCCTTTGAACAACACACCAATGACACATTAAATCAATCATTTTTATGTTGGGATCATGGGAAGGATATGGGAATTTCTATGAGATATGAATGTGGTTTGAAAAAGCCTCCATATAGACCAGAAATCTTGAGGGTCACAGAGGATCCAGATGGTAGGGAGACAGCAGTGATACAGTAGAGTCTCAGGGATGGAGCAAAGCCAGGAACAGCAGGGAATTCGGGTGGTGCACAGTTGGGGGACTAGTGCCTGGTGTGCAGCGCACCTGGGTTGGCGCCCAGAGCTCCAGTCCAGTTCCCCATGCATCTCCCTCGGATTCGTAGGGAGGCCTGGGCCTGCTGAAGGGACCGGAACAAAGACAGGAGCAGGAGGTTTTTCGGCCAGGGCACAGTTCAGGGACCAGTGCCCGGCTTGCAGCGTGCCTGGGTGGGTACCCAGCGCACCTGGGTCGGCACCCAGCGTTTTGGACCGGTTCCCAGAGCATCTCCCTCAGATTCCTTGAGAGGCCTGGGCCTGCCAAAAGGTCCGGAACAAAGACAGGAGCAGAAGGGTTTTTGGCCGGTGCACAGTCCAGACACCAGTGTACAGCTCGCCTAGACAGGTGCCCAGCCTGTCTAGGTTGGTGCCTAGCCCTCGGTTTGGCTTTCCGATTCTGGTGCATCTCCCTCGGACTCTTTGGGAGCCCTGGGCCTGCCGAAGGGTCCTTGGGAGAGAGCTGGGACTCTCAGCTCCCTCCCTTTCTGGCCTAGTAAGGTTGGGCGCTGGGAAAGACTTGTTTGCTAGAATTTGCAGAGAGGGTGCTAAGGACAAAGGGCCTCAACCACAGACTCTGTGGTCGTCATCTGTGCCCCGGAGAACTGATAGGCACAGTGTGGGGCTCTGACTCCGATAGACACAACTGCCTCATCTGCTCCTCACCCAGCCTGGCAGTGAACCCCAGGTTGGGCAGAGGGCCTGGAGTTCCCCCACAGAACTGAGGCAGGTCTGTGCTCGATCCCGTGGGAACCAGGCTGCCTAGCTGGCGCAGGCACCCGCATGCCCCGCAGCCGAACCCATGGTGGTAACCCCTGGGAAAAGAGCTCTGTGAGGAAGTCCTAGATCCCCATCGAAGGGAGCTGGGGAGAGGCGCTGACAGTTTGGCTCCTGAGAGAGGGCTTCCAAAAAGAACACACTAATCGCCCCTCAGCCAGCTACAGCCAGAAAAAACGGTTTGGCCAGTTTGAAACCAACAAGCCACATTTCTTTTCTTTTCTTTTTCTCTTTTTAAGTAATCTGTTATTTTTTAAATTTTATTATTGCTTTATCTTTCAATACTTTTTTATTATGTGGGTAAAAGTGATTTCTGGCAAAAAGAGTTTTAAAAATTTAGTGAAATCTACTTCTTCCTAAAAGTTTGTTTCCTTTATTTTTCCTCAGCGTTTATTTATGAAGTTGATATCTATATGTGAATTTCCTTAAGAATACATTTTCTATAGTATAACTCCTCATACTAAATTGCTAATTAAGAATTAGCTGTAACTCTAGTGTTGAGTTTTTTGGGGTCATATGTACATTTTATAAAACTAAAATTATTGTTCTGAAGAATATTCTCCATTTATGGACTTATTTAGCATGTTTTATTAGGAAACGTTTTCAATTAGTGATAATAACTCCTCGGATAAACCTCATCGGCTAAGATATTGCCACTGCACAAAGTAGCATGTTTCATTGAAGTTTACCAGAAAGTCCTGGGTGTCCAGGGGTTCCTGGGATTCCAAAGCCTGGTTGACCTGTCAGGGAATAAACCAAAAATTCTCAAATAGATAATAATAACTGAAACAGCACAAATTATCTTCCAATTATTTAAGTTTTTATTAAGTGCTACAATGTATATTATATGAAACATGTAGAAGATTTATTTCAAACATGGAACCACAATTCTAACATGAGAAAATTACATATACATATATACTATTTGTGATGAATGTTAAATATATACTTATATAATATGAATATATAAATGGAATATAGATTGCATAATAAAAGAAAGTCATCCAGAGGACTTCGTAAAAGTTGAACAGCCTCTTGACATGAAAAATTGAGCAAGAAAGGATATGGAGTTTTTCATAAGAGGGAAACAAGTTGAGTGATAAATGTGAGGTTACATTCTCAGGATACAGTGGAATATAATTAGTATGGGAAAGGGTGTGGTAGCTTAAAGAGTAAGAAAAAAGATATAATTTCATTGTGGGTAAAAAATGCCAAAAGTTAAAGTATACAAGGGTTAAATTATAAAATTAAAAACAATAGAAAACATAGTACCTGGTTCACCCTTCTGTCCAGCTGGTCCAGGAATACCATCTTGACCTGGTTTTCCTTTGTCACCTGGGTGTCCTGGTGGCCCAGGATGACCTCTGCTACCTAGATTACAGGTTAGGAAGGTTACATCTATTTCCTTCATTCCCTTTTCCCTTCATATTCCCCAGTCTTTCTATCCTAGATTCAAATAGTTCTATCCAAAAGATAAAACGTGCCTCTGAGACACTCCTTTAAATTATGAAATATTATGAAAAAGCATAAAAAATAAAGGGTGATGTGAATAAGCAACAGTTTTATCATCCACTCATTATCCACAATGTTTGTTTCTCATTGTAATCAATCTTTATACTATCCAAGAAAGTAAGGTGTTGGAGATGGGGTGCCTTATAGGCCTCATATAGGATCAATGAAAGTGATTTGCTTCATAATTTAGTAAACAAATAAAAGTGCTACTCCTTGCCATTCTAAAAAAAAAAATCAGGCTTTCTATATACTATAGGATACTTGAAATAACTCTTCCTGGAAAAAGTGAGCCCCCAAAATAAGTTCTAACAACAGTAATTTCATATAACTTTTATTGAGTTCTGCACTTTGTACTTAATAAGCAGAGCTAAGTGAACAGTTTCCTTCTCATGAAAACATTCAGCTCCCTGAAATGATCTGACTTTCCCAAAATGAACATGAGGCTTGGTTTTCTAGAACAGCAAACCCTTTTTCATGCTTACCTACAGGACCAGATTCTCCTGGAAGTCCAGGGTTCCCAGGAGGACCAGTAATGCCTTTTGGTCCAGGAAGGCCAGGGGTTCCTAGACCAAAGTATTCAGTTCAATCAAAAGAGAAAAACTGTGCTGCTTTGGGAGCTACAACTCAAACTGACAATTTATAGTGTCAGCATAGAAACAGTGAAGAAGAGAAAAATACACAAAAAGATGCTGGTGTTTGCTCGGTGTTTCAAGAATTAAAAATTTTAAGTTTATTTATCTAGAGGCTGCATTTATTATATATTCATAATAAAAGTAATTACCACCATATTATACTAGTGGAACTAGCAGAATTCCATTGTATAGATATATCAAAAATTTTAATCTAGTCATACATTTTTGAACATTTGGCTATGCTTTAGCTATTCCATAGTAGATATCTATTGTATTTATAGAAACTTGGTCTACTTCTAGTTTTTGGCTATTATGAATAATGCTGCTATGGATATTTCTGCATTGATATTTTGCAGTTATATGTCATTATTTATCTTGGGTAAACACCTAGACAGGAATGGAACAACTGAGTCAGAAAACAGGTGTATAGATATAGATATTCACAATAACATTTGGAAATTCCAGTTGCCCCAGATATTTGAACAACACTTGGTGATATCAGTTGTTTTAATAATAGCCATCCCGATAGGAATGTAGTGTTAATTCATTGTGATTTTAATTAGCATTTCTCTGATGGCTAAGAATATTGATGAACTTTTCATGTGCTTAGTGGCCATCCATATACCTTCTTTTATAAAATGTTCAAAGTTTTCCCCATTAAAAATATTGAACTGTATATCTTATTGACTTGTGGATGTTCTTTATATATCCCAGAAATCAGTCATTTGTGAGATATATGTTTTTGAAGCATTTTCTCCTACTCTGTAGCTCCCCTATTTATTTTCTTTCTGTTCTATTGTTTAGAGTATATTTTATTGATTATGTTATTATACTTGTCCCATTTTTTACTCCCCTTTATTCCTCCCCTTAGTTTATGTCTATGGGTCATATATATAAGTCTCTGGCTTCTTTATTTCCTATACTATTCTTAATTTCTCCTTGTCTATTTTGTACTTACCAATTATGCTTCTTATTCCCTATACCTTTTTCCCCATCCCACCCCCTTCCCTAAGGCACTGATAACCCTCCATGTAATCTCCATTTCTATGATTCTGTTCTTGTTCAGTCTATAGCCATACCACCCCGAATGCACCCAATCATGTCTGATTCTGTTCCTGTTCTAGTTTGCTTAGTCTGTTTTTGTTTTAGTTTTTTAGGTTCAATTGTTGATGGTTGTTTGTTGTCATTTTACTGTTCACAGTTTTTATCTTATTTTTCTTAGATAAGTCCCTTTAATATTTCATATACTAAGGGCTTGGTGATGATGAACTCCTTTAACTTGACCTTATCTGGGAAGCACTTTATCTGCCCTGCCATTCTAAATAAAAGCTTTGCTGGATAGAGTATCTTGGATCTAGGTCCTTGCTTTTCATGACTTCAAATACTTCTTTCTAATCCTTTCTTGCCTGAAAGGTTTCTTTTGAGAAATCAGCTGATAGTTTTATGGGCACTACTTTGTAGGTAACTTTCTCCATTTCTCTTGCTGCTTTTAAGACTCTCTCCTTATCTTTCATCTTGGGTAATTTAATTATGATGTGTCCTGGTATATTCCTCCTTGTGTCCAATTTCTTTGGGACATTCTGAGCTTCCTGGACTTGAAAGTCTACTTCCCTTGCCAGATTGGGGAAGTTTTCTTTCATTTGTTCAAATAAGTTTTCAATTTCTTGTTCTTCCTCTTCTACTTCTGGCATCCCTGTGATTTGGATGTTGGAAAGTTTAAAGTTGTCCCAGAGGTTCCTAAGCCTCTCCTCATTTTTTTTTGAATTCTTGTTTATTCATTATGTTCTGGTTGAATGTTTATTTCTTCCTTCAGTTCCAAAATGTTGATTTGAGTCCCAGTTTCCTTCCCTTCACTGTTGGTTCCCTGTATAATTTTCTTAGTCTGACATAATTTTATTTTTTAATTATTTTATTGTTGTTCAATTATAGTTGTCTGCACTTTTCTTCCACCACTCTCCCCCACCCAAGCAAAACCCACCTCTCTCCTTTCCTTCCACCCTCCCCCTTGGTTTTGTCCATGTGTCCTTTATAGTAGTTCCTGAAAACCCTTCCCCCCACTCTTGCCTCCCCCCTCCCCTCTGGTTACTGTCAGATTTTTCTTAATTTCAATGTCTCTGGTTATATTTTGCTTGCTTTTATTTCACTTTGCATAGCCTTCACACTTCTTTCTCTTTTGTGTTTGTACTCAAATCATTTCTGTGAACATCCTGATTACCAGTGTTTTGAACTATGCACTTGATAGGTTGGCTATCTCCTCATTGCTTAGCTCCTTTTCTGAAGTTTTTATCTGTTCTTTCATTTAAGCCATTTCTTTGTCTCGGCACACTTGTTATGTTGTAAGGGGCAGAGCCTTTGGTACCCACCAGGGTGGGGAACCCACCTCACTGCGTTGAGGTGATGTATATGGGGAAGGTGTCAGAGAGGGAACAATGCCACTTACTTGGTCCTTGCCCCACTTTCAGTCACTTTCCCTGCTACTTACAAGAAAATCGGGCCCTTCTGGTGCTGATTTTCAGGTAGGTTGGTATATGTACATTCTAGGACCCCGTAGGTCGCTCCAAAAAACTGTCCTGTGAGGCTAGTAGTTTCTCCTGCTGCTGCACCCCTGACAGGATTTTACAGCTGGAGGTTTCTGGGGCTTTAGTTTCCTGTGCTAGAACCCTGGGTGGTGTGGTCTATCTTGATCCCAAGTTGCTCCTCCAGACTCTCTGCACATGAATGTGAAATTGCTTGGTCTGCCAGCCACCACCTTGCCATGAATCCTCTCCACCCCAGCTGCTCAACTCCTTCCCTCCTACCAGTCTAGATGAATGTTTCTTCTTTAACTCCATGGTTGTCAGACTTCCATACAGTTCGATTTTCTGGCAGTTCTAGTTTTTTTGTTGTTGTTGTTTTTAAACTTGTTTGTCCTTTTGATTGTGCCAGGAAGCAAAGGGTATCTAGCTATGCCTCAATCTTGACCAGAAATCCCTATTTATTTTCTTAATGGTGTCTTTTGATGACAAGAAGCATGGAAGAGCTCAGGTTCTTTACAAGGAAAAAAACAGTGTGGTGCAATTGGATATCTGTATGGAAACAAATGAACCTTGACCCCTACTTCACACCAAAAAATATTTTAAGATACACCATAAACCTAAGTATAAAATCTTAAACATTAAATTTTGTAAAAAAATTGGAAGACTATTTGCATAAACTTGAGTAGGTAAATATTTCTTGAATAGGGCACAAAGAGCACTAACTGTGAAAGAAAATTGATAAATTGGACTTTATTAAAATAAAGAATATTTGTTTGTCATACAATGGTATTAAGAGAGTGAAAGGCAAATCTGAGACTGCAAGAACATATTTGTAATATATGTACCTGTCACAGGAGTAATAAATAAAATATGCAAAGAACTGCTCTGAATCAATAAAGTAAAAGACAAACAACCCAATTAAATTTTATCAAAATCACTTTGGGCAGGCACTTAAAAATATGCTATACAAATGCACAATAAGTATACAAAAAGATGTCCAACATAGTAATTCATTAGGAAAATTTGAATTAAAACATCAATGAAATATTTCTCTATGCCCATCCGTATATCTAAAATTAAAAAGACAGGTAAGGATATGGCCAACTGGATATTTCACAATGCAAAAAATAACCAGTTTATGGTCATGGTAAACCACCAGGAGCCACCCATGGACATTTTAGACATTGCAAGTAGGGCTGTAATTCATAAAACTACTTTGGAAAACTGACACCATGTACTAAATTTAAACGTACTCAGTAATTCTACTACTACTAACCTTTTGTCTAGAAAATGAGTACATATATCTACCAAAAGGTATTAAACAATGTTAATAGCATCTTTTTCCTTAATAGTTTGTGATAAAGGAAGAAATTTGCCTCTACCCTTCTATGTTCTTTCAACTAGCCTAATAATCTGTTCCAAAATTAGACAGATTAAAAAGAAAATAAACAAATTTACTTACATATGTATGGGAACCCCACATACATGAGAGATTCAGAGACAGAGATGTAAAATGAGTTATATATGGAATCCTGAGCTAAGGCACCTGAGGCTTTAAAAGGGAAGGTGGTAATTCACTGGATAATAAGAGCAGAGGCTCAGTAATTAGATGTTTGTGCTGCCTCAACAATAGGTCATAAAAAGTTATTTCTTGTAATAATTCTTATTATGGGCAAGGTTCCAACTTAAATTCTTTAAGATAGAAGTAAAAATTTCTCTTGAACCTGCAGGGTCTCAGCTGCCTTCAGCTAAAAAATATCCAGATGCCAAAGTGGCACATCTTGGGGAGACCTGTTCTGAGCCCAAACTGGAAACAATCCAAAGGTCCATCAATAGGAGAGTGGGTAATTGATTATGTGGGAGTGGGTATTATTGAGAGTGGGTAATTGTATTCTTTGATGGAATATTACAGAGCATTGATAAAAACCAAACTACTGAAACATGGAGCAAGATAAATGAATCTTACATAATGATGAGTGAGAGAAGGCAGACAATGAGTGAAAGATGGATATATATATTCCATTTATATAAATTTCAAAAATAGGGAAAATTAATCAATAGTGATAGAAGTCATAGTAGTGGTTACCTGGGCGTGTGGGTTCACTGTGGAGAATGGGTAAGCTTTATGGTGTGAAGGAACTATTTTATATCTTGATATGTAAGGTGAGTATGTGGATATATTAATGGGTAAAAATGCATCTACAGTCTTACACACTTAACTGTGTTTGTGTTATATTTCAAAAAATCTTAAGAAAAATATACCTAAAGGGCCACTCCATCCATGCCACTGTTTAATACAAAATAAACAAAACAAATTAAATACAAGCATAAACAGAGAAGGGACTATAACAATCTAATTGTTCAGGCCACTTTTTTATTTATAGTACTAAGTCCCTTTGCTTTCATGACACAGTCCTCGTCATTTTAATGAACTGGATGATTGTTCATTCTACCAACAGCCACCCACTGTGTGCATGAGTACAATGTTCTCAGAGAATCAGCAGCAGGCTGGGGCTTGGCAATGCACATTATCACCCATAAAAAGAGTAAAGCCCCTTAATTGAATTATGGCTAGCAGTCAAAGATCGAAAAATGCTCCACCAAATATTCTCTCTGTCCACAGGATATTGTCCTGCTGTGTTTATACTATTCATTCTCATTTTATACAGAAAGAAATTTGGACAAAGAAATGTTAAAGACCTAGTTCAAGATTATGTTGCTAGTCAGTATCTGATTGGGAAACAGAATAAAGTCCACCAAATAAGACTGTGCTCTGTGATATGGGCTAGAATAAATAAAGAGGAAGAGAAGGAAGCATTTAAGAAAAATATATTACCAGGAAATCCAGGAAGACCTGGTTGTCCTTTTGCTCCAGGGGTCCCTGGTAATCCAGGCAAACCAGTATCTCCTATAGAACCTTTGACACCAGGGTTCCCTGGATATCCAGGCAGACCAGGTTCACCCTAAAATATAAGTAAAAAGATAAAACTGAAGTCTTTCCACTTCTCAGATTATATAACAATGTAACATTAAAGAGATTTTACTATGTGTTAGGCACTATACTGATTGCTTTACATAAATTATTTCATTTAATCATCTCAACAGCCCTTTGAGTTAGCTTTTATCTTTTCCACTTATAAATAAGAAAACTGAATTTTGGAGAACTCAAGTGCCTAAGATCACTAGTAAGTGGAAGAATTAGGATTTGCATCCAAGGCTTGTCAGAGTCCAGAGCTCTTGCTATTCCCCTGATATATTGTATAAATGCATTATCAAATTTATACAATAAATCCATTGTATCCATTTATCCATAAAGATAAATCCATTAATCCTTAACAACACTGTAAGAAAGATACCGTCATTATCATTTTTTACAGTGATTTAGCTGGTAAGTGGTAGAATCTGGATTTGGATCCAAATAGTGTGATTTCAGAACCTGTGATAATCATTCCTAGTATGCTACAATAAAATTCATTGCTTAGAATAAGCAGACTCTACTGCAAAAGGTCAATTTCATCTTAACATAAAGAAGTCTGTCATTCTTCAGTGGACGTCTCAAATCCCATTTCCTCCATGGAAACTTCCAGGGCAAAGAGAGCTTACCCTAAGAATTTAATGTAGATTCTTATTCTGTCATGTCTATAATGGTTTTACATATGCATGTCTTCACTCTTCAACTACACTGAAAATTTCTTTGGGGTCAGAGGCAATTCATATATAACCATTTTTGCTTAATGAACATTTGCATTGTTTTCTAATAAATACATAGAAAAATCAGACCCACTTTCACAAGTTAACAGAAGTTTTTCCCAATAACAATGAGAACATATGTCATAACTTTATATCTATAACTATCACAGTATTCACTGCTCTGCTCATAAGAATCATGACCTATCCAACAAACTGTTAGTACTCAATAGATGGTATTGAATATCACCTACTCAATATCATCTATTGAATACTTCCTCCCAGATTTAGTGCTTATACTTGTCTAGGCAAATCAGATAATCTATCTGTGATTCAATTTTTTCTGCATTATAGTAAAACCTTTTTAAACTAATGCCTTTTACACCTCCCCTTTTAAAAAATCAAGAGACTTGGGCATACATAAATAATGCCTATCTGGAATAACCCAGATATTATTAATATAATGAGAACAGTTTGTATGATATCAGTGTAACCTGGAAGACAAGGAGAGTGGACAGGAATGTGTATGTGTGAACAATGACAACTTCACTGTACTAGTTAGACAGCTGGGGAGGTAGATACTGTTGAGAGAGCACGTGTACTGTGTGGCCATAGCATTCAAAGTGACTGAGTAAGTAGAACAACGAAACTGCATCAAATTTTGTGTTAAACTTGGACATTCCTCCATGGCAACTATTGAGATGATTCAGAAGGCTGCGGCTATGGGCAACTGGTGATGGGAAGCTGCATTACAACATGCCCACTCATGCATCATGTCTCCTGCAGGGTTTTTTTGTGAAATACCAAATTAACCAGGTGACTCAGCTGCCCTACAGCCCAGATTTTGCACCCTGCAACTTCTGGCTTTTCCCAAAACTAAAATCACTTTTGAAAGGGAAGAGATTTTAGACCATTGATGAGATTCAGGAAAATATGACAGGGCAGCTGATAAGAATTGGGAGAACTGTGTGAGGTCCCAAGGTGCCTACTTTGAAGGGGACTGAGGCATCACTGTCCTATGTACAATGTTTCTTGTATCTTCTTCAATAAATTTCTCTGTTTTTCCTATTACATGGCTATATACCTTCTGGACAAACTATATATATAGTCTAAACCTTTATAAATCAAATGTCAGTACATTTTCACACACATAATAGGTATACAATTAAATTTTGGATTTAATTGGTTCCATCTTAGGTATTTACACATAAAAGCTTTTAATAAAATATCATAATTATTGTTGTTATTCATGAACCAATGACATTTATATGCTAATATAAAAAAACAAGAAGAAAATTCAGATATTCTAATGGTAAACCTGAAAGGTACTAGACAAACTACGGTGAAGTATGTTAAGTTCTAGAAATAACACAATCCATAATTTCAGCTAGTACTTGTTCTTAAATACAGTTCTTTTTCACTACCTTATGGCCCTAATCCTTCAAACCATTTATACTGTAAAAAAAAAAAAAGTAAACATTTTACTGGGATTTCTGAAAAGAGCTAAAATTTGCTAATTACATTTTATCTAAACTTTTATTATTCATACATACTTTCAGAGAAAATAATGAACTTCAAAAAAGGTAAGCAAGACTGACAGCTTTCAGATGCATGGGGGGCAGAGGAGGCCTGGATGAAAGAAGGTGAAGGGATTAGCCAAAGAGCATATATGTATAACCCATGGACAAAGACAACAGTGGGGTGATGACTTGAGGGAAGGGGTAGCAGGGGCTGGGAGCAGGGAGTCAAAGGATGAGTAATAATAACATCTGCAATACTGTCAACAGTATATACCCTTCACCTTTTTCACCCCAGTACTCCAGATACCTCCACCACTCTGGCAATTATCAGTCTGTTTTCTGTATCTATGAGTCTGTTTGTACTTTTTAATTCCCATCACCCATTTTGTCCACATCCACCCTCCAGTTTTGGAAACTGCTATTCTTTCTCTATGCCTATGAGCTCATTTTTTGTGGTTGATTTTATTTTGCTTATTTATTCATTATTTTTAGATTCAATGTATAAATGATATCACATTGTATTTGGCTTTCTTTGTCTTAGAATAACACCTTCAATGTCCATCTATGTTGTATCAAATGGCAAGATTTCCCTCTTTTTTATGGCTGAATAATGTGATATATATATGCACAATGTACCACTGCATCATTTTGGTTACCCATTCATCCATTGTTGGACATTTAGTTTGCTTTTATATCTTGGATTTTGTAAATAATGCTGCATGAACATGGGAGTGCATTTATCTTTTCAGGTTAGTCTTTTTTTCTTTGCATAAATGCACAGAAGTAAAATTGATGATTCATATTGTAATTCTATTTTTAATTTTTTGAGGATGTTCCATACTGTTTTCCATAGGATTAGCAGATACCTACTTCTGTCCAAAATGTTCATAGAGACATTTGGTCCATGCCAAACAGTCATTGATATTTGGTCCTGTCCCAAACATCCACACTAAGAAAATGTCCCTGGTTCAGATAGCCCATGTTTCTTTTTTTTTTTTTTTAAGATTTTATTCATCCATCTTTAAAGGGGAAGGATAGAGGGAGAGAAACAATTTATGGTTGTCTCTCGTGTGTCCCCCGTTGGAAACTGGCCTGCAACCTAGGCATGTAGGTTTTCACCTAGGGTGAAAAGTACTGGGAATCAAACCGCGATACTCTGGTTCGCAGGCCTGCACTCAATCCACTGAGCTACACCAGCCAGGGCTTATTTTTATTTTGGGTTTACAGAATTAACACATAAAATACTGTCATGTTTTATTGGTCCAATAATTGTGTTGTGGTTTTATTTCTAATAATAATCCTTCCTTCAGCAGTGTAGCTGATAATGGAACATGGGGTCAGGTGGATGGGTCTGGTTTCAAATCTTGCGGAAGAGGGGAATTTATATTAACTATAGTCCAAAAGTCTAAATGGATGTATTTTGTTGACAAAATTTACATCAATATGTATAAAGGATATTGGTCTCTAATTTTCTTATAGTATCATGTCTGGCTTTGGAATCAGGAAAATGCTGGCATAATAGATTGAGTTTGGAGGTGTTCCCTCCTCTTCATTTTTTTTGAAGACCTTGGATTAACATGTTCTATTCTGGGGAATGTTCCATGTTCCCTAAAAAATGTGTACTCTACTTTTGTGGTTAGAATGTTGTATGTATGTCTGTTTGGTGCAACTAACATTGCCCATTTTAAAAATTAGTTTATTTGCTTTCTTATTGACTATAGCAGTTATTTATATATTTATATATTCTGTATACAAATCTCTGATATATCTATTACTTGTAAATATTTTCTCCCTTTCTGTGGGTTGTCCTCTTACTTTCTCAATGTTATCATTTTCAACACAAAATTAAAGAGATAATATATTCCAATTTATATTTTTCTTTGGTTGTTTGTGCTTTTCGTGTAGTAACTAAGAAATCATTAACCTAACTGAAAGTGATGAAGATTTAGTCATGTTTTTTCTAAGATTTTAATAGTTTAACTCTCATAGTTAGGTCAATTCATTATCCACTGAGGGTTAATTTTTGTGTATGATGTGATTTAGGGGGCAGCAATTCATTCATTTGCATATAGGTATCTTCTTGTGTTTAGCACCATTTGTTAAAAGATTTTTATTTCTTCTAATTGTCTTAACACTTTTGTTGAAAATCAACTGACAAAAAATGTACAGGTTTATTTCTAAACTCTATTTCATTGATTCTTATGTCTATCTTATGCCACTATTACACAGTCTGGACTGCTGTAGTTTTATCGTAAACTTTGAAACTTAGTAAAACATACTATACAAAGTGAGGCCTCTATATTCATTCTTTTGTTTTCAAGGTTGTTTTGATTATTATGGATTCTATGTATTTTCACACAAATTTTAGGATCTGCTTGTCAATTTTAACAAAAAGCAATCTGGGATTATGACAGATTGTTTAGAATTTGTTATATGATTAAATTTTAAGAATATACTGAGGACATTTGCCAACTGAAGCATTTTCTGCTTCCATCCATTATAATTTCAGAGATGAGTTATTATGGTAATTTTGCATCCAGTATATAAATATTAAAATTCAGTGAGTACAAAAAAAATATATATGAACAAATTTAGAAATATTTTAAAATGACATTTCAAATCAATGAGTAAATAATAAAGTTTCACCTTAAACAACATACAGAAAAGGTCAGATGGATTAAAAATGTTAATATTAAGAACAAAATCACAAAGGTACTGGAAAAATAAGATTATAAAATTATTAGGATATAGAAGTCTTTATAACAATCAGAAAACTGTGCTCCTGATCTTTACCACCAAATCTACTTCTCCCCAAATCTTTCCTATCTCACTATGTAGCAACTCTATTCTTCCAGTTGCTCAAGACAGAAAGTTTGGATTCACCCTTGATATCTCTTTTTTTCTCCTATTCTATAAGCAAATTGTGCTGGCTTGACCTACAAAATATATTAATATTCTGACTATTTCTTATTTGTACTACCTTGGATATTCAGTTAAAACTACTACTACACTTTTATTAATTGCCTAAGTTACTTTTTTATGTCTTTTTACATTAGTTAATAATAACTGGACAAAGACCAACAACCCCTTCACTAAAAAGGGAAAAGAAAACCAAAACCAGGCAGAAATAAGCCTTTGGTTTACTGAAACATACAAAGAGATTAAGATTAAGACAGAGGTAAAGAACGAAATCAGAAGCACGTTGCCCATTTTTTGAACTGGCTGCAAACCCTGTAACTTATCTCTTTACAATGTAAGAGAAAGAAGAAGGGGTAAATTTCTTGCCAGAGTATACTATATCAATCTATACTTTGTTTAATTAAGAATTAGGGCCCTGGCTGGTGTAGCTCAGTGGATTGAGCACGGGCCTGCGAACCACATGATCACGGTTCGATTCCCAGTCAGGGTACATGCCTGGGTTGCAGGCCAGTTCCCAGCAGGGGACTCACAAGAGGCAACCATACATTGATGTTTCTCTCCCTCTCTCCTTCCCTTCCCCTCTAAAGATAAAGAAATAAAATATTTTTAAAAAAGAATTGGGAATGAGCACAGTATTAAAGAAAAACCACATCTGCTTTTTCTGGCATATGTCTAGAATAGGATTACCTTTGGGCCAAGAAGACCTGGAAGACCAATGCCTGAAACACCAGGATCGCCTTTTTCTCCTTTCTGTCCAGGTAATCCTGGGAATCCAGGTTGTCCAGGAACTCCAGGAGTACCAGGGGACCCTTTCACACCCTGAGGCCCTGTTAAAAACATGTAAAATGCAATATTTTACAAAATACATTTTACTTGTGAAATATCTATGATATATATGACCAAATAAAAGAGTCAGAAACAGAACTCTGCAAATTCTGTATAATATAATAATGAACTTTACAAGCAGGATTATATAAAAGGCTATTTTACAAGAAGTTTAAGTGAAAGGGATACAACTGGAAAAAACATACAAGTTTGTAAATTTTTACTTTAAAGGTTTCTAAAGTTCCGTGCCTTAATTCCTAGTTCAAATATTTATATAATGAGAAGCTTTACCCACTAATTACCTTAGATATTGTCTCATTTTGATTCTGTGAACACCAGTCTCGTTTCTGATTACAAACAGAGTGAACCATCTTCCATTAGTGGATCTAAATATTTGGGAGATTTCATCACTCACCTGGAAAACCCATACTGCCTGTGTTTCCTTTAAGTCCAGGGAGTCCTGTAAGTCCTGGCTTCCCAGGAAGACCAGGATTACCCTGGGGACCTAAGAAAGTCAAATTGGTAAAATTAAGAGAAGTCAGTAATATTGAGGTTGCCCAATTTCCTCAAATGGGTCATAATTAAAATGCAATCATGGAATTGGATGGATCAAATATTAATACACGATCAAGTTCCACAGATATAACAGCATAAAACAGATAAGAGGTGCCTAAGAAATCTCCTTAGGAACATATGACAATATAATCATGGTAACAGAGATCTCCTAATACAGACTTATTTTAAAAATTAAAATTTTTTACCAGGACACCTTGTTTTTGCCTTAAAACTATTTCAAACACCCAAAGTCCTATTTCTTGTATGTGCATAACTATCCTTACTGTATCTGTCACATACAAATCCAACATAATGAGTCTGTTTTTAAAATATGCAGAAGTAGCTTTATCATGTAATTCTAATTATATAAAAGTAAGAAGAGCAGCCCTGGCTGGTGTGGCTCAGTGGATTGAGCACTGGACTATGAAGTGGGTGGTCGCTGGTTCAATTCCCAGTGGGGGTGCATGCCTGGATTGCAGGCCAAGTCCCTGGTGGGGGACATGGGAAAGGCAACCATGCACTGATGTTTCTCTCCCTCTCTTTCTCCTTCCCTTCCCCTTTCTCTAAAATAAATAAATAAAATCTTAAAAAAAAAAAAAAGAAGAGCAAAGTGGTAACCTGTCATGGTATACCTCCAATACATTTGTCCATGGATAGATGTGTTGATGAAGAGGTTCTGGACGGTTACCTCCTACAGTCCTGGCTGCTGTGTTTACGCATTCTTCCTAGAGGTTAGGTGCCTGAGCTCTATGGTGTCACACTGTTTTTTTCCAAGGACCCCGATGTTGCCTTAAACATTTTTTCTTTCACACTTATTTCCAACTTGCAGAAGAAAAAGCAGAAGACATGAAGGACAGAAAGGGAGGTAATTTCTCTTCCCAATCACACATTAAGGCAATGTAGTACAGAGTCAAAAGGAGAAAAACAGACCTAAAGGGTTCTTATGAAGATGGGGACCAGCTCCTCTTTACTCATTAGGGGCCCAAATAAAAGAAAATGGTTTAACAAGCAGCAAGAAAGGGTTTTGTTAGTGATAAGAAAAATCCATGTTGACTGTATGAGGGTGATTAACATGGTTTAATAATTGACCTGTCTGAAGGCAAAGAAGTAAAAAAAAGTGAATTCTTCAGGCTACTACCAGATACTTGTCTTATTTACATGTGTTGTAATTTATGTAAATAAAACCCAGCACCCTACTTGGATATACTTCTGGTTATATGTAAACTTTGCTACCATAGAAAGAAAAAATTTGACCAAAACAGTCTATAAATTTCCTGTATTAATAGTTGGGCCAAATGGCAACATTTTTTTTCTAAAAGAGAACTCCATATCTCGGCAGCTATCCAAGCTACTCAGTAGCTACTCATATTGCCATGACCAGATGGCACATGACATCACACATAACACATTACAAATATATAATAAATTTTTCAGGGTTTAGGTCAATTATCCAATTGCTACAGGTGGTCTATCATAAATACCTGGTAGTCCTGGTAATCCAGGTTTCCCACTCAGTCCAGGCTGCCCTGGGTCTCCAGGCAAACCCTGGTAACCTTTTGGCCCAGGCACTCCAGGAATACCTTCCAAGGATGAGTATAAGAGACAAGTGAGGTTGGTATCATTAATCCGTTAAATTAATTTGGCAAAGGAGGCTACCCATATTCTGAACTGTGAGTGAAATACAGACATCAGTGATATACAGACGTAGCATGAACCAGCAGCACTGGACTCATACTAAAATCCTCACTTTTTTATTTAGCTACCATTAAGAATTTACAGCATTCAACAATTAAGTCACTTTCCTCTTTGGGCTACAGTTCCTTACACTGTAAAATAAAGGATTTGGGACAGATTATCTCTAGGCTATCTCATATTCTACAATTACCGTTAATAACCCTATATTAGAGGCAAGTATAGAGTCTTTACTAACTCTGTTTTACGGAAGGCATAAAATGAAAAAGAAATCTTGCAAGGAGTAATTCAAGAAAGATATGTCATTTTATCCATAAAAAATTAGATGGCCTAGCATTTTTTGATTACATACAAGACTACCATGATGCCTTAAACACACTTTTGATGAAAAAAAACCCACCAAGTCTTACTCTTAAGGAAATTTTTAACATCATTGTATACACATACCCAAATACACACTCATGTGTACATATAGACCGACAATATTAATGATTACAAAACAAAGAGAGCCACAGACTTTACTGTAAGTCTGTTTTAGAGTTCCATGTTGTTTGACAGGCTATTCTATATAGATTTGATTATAAGTGTTTTATCAATTTGTGCTTATCCAAAGTTTCTGCTTTGGTATGAATATGCTATATTTTCATAAAAATAATTTTTCATTAAAATGGTATACTTCATAATTTATTTGGTTTTAATAAAATAACTATAAAAAGTACAGCTGTTCCCCAGATCTATTTTCAGTGCTTCCCCCCAGGGCCCAGCCTGGCTGTTCAAACTGAAGTACTTGTTTATTCTGCAAAGGCAGTATAACAATTAAGTGTATTTAAAAGCCAAGTATGGCCTTCTGGTTAAGATAGAAGAGTAGGAAGACAAGCTTTGCTTCCTTGCACAACCAAAAGAAGAATCACAACTAACCTCAAAACAAAAAACACCCAGAACTGCCAGAAAATCAAACTGAATGGAAGTCTGACAAGGAAGGATTTAAAGAAGTCATATTCATCCAAATGGGTAGGAGGGGCAGAGAGGGGAGCTGGGGCAGAGAGGACATAGTGTGGGGGAGGGAGGTGGTAGTGGGAGAATGGACAGTCCTGCATTTACATGTGGTAGATAAAAATAAGGAGGGATACTTTGGGAATGAGCAATCCCACTGCCATACCAGACTGGGAAGTCCAAGTTCCAGCGCTGGGAAGAGAAAGCCTCATAAACTCTGTTTGTAAAAATCAGTGAAGGTTGGGGCAGTGGAAGAAACTGCTGGTTACTCAGGAGAGTCTGTTTAATGAGCCCACACAAACTTAGAACGTATGCGAACCTTCCCACTCTGGGAATCACCACCAGGGCAATAGCTAGAATGGTGCCAGTTACACACAGGAAGTGGGTGAAGTGACTGGAAACATGGTGAGCACCGAGCAAGACTTCAGAAGCCAAGGAGAGTCATGTTCCCTCTCTAATCCCTCTCCCCTACACAGTACTACAGACTGGTAAAGTGGGTTGCCTGACCATGGTGAATATCTAAGGCTCTGCTTCATATAATGTAACACATATGCTAATACTGGGAGTCAAAATAGCTCTACCTAATACACAGAAATAAACGCAGGGAGGCTGCCAAAAATGAGGAGACAAAGAAATATGGCCCAAATGAAAGAACAAAACAAAACCCAGAAAAAGAACTAAACAAAATGGAGATAGCCAACTTATCAGATGCAGAGTTGAAAACATTGGTGATCAGTATGCTCTGAGAACTCATTCAGTATGGCAAAAACGTAAGAGAAGAAATGAAGGCTACACTAAATGACATAAAGAAAAATCCACAGTAACCAACAGTGAAGGGAAGGAAGCCAGATTCAAATCAACAATTTGGAACATAAGGAAGAAATAAACAGTCAGGTAGAACAGAGTTAAGAAACAAAAATTCAAAAAAAATGAGGAGAGTATAAGAAGACACTGGGGCATATCCAAATGTGCCAACACCTCAATCATAGGGGAGCCAGAAGGAAAAGTGAAAGAACAAAAAATTGAAAACTTATTTTAAAAAATAATAAATGAAAACTTTCCTAATTTGATGAAAGAAATAGACATACAAGTCCAGGAAGCACAAAAAATACCAAACAAGTTGGACCCAAAGAAGACTACACGAAGACACATCATAATTAAAATGCCAAAGGTTAAAGGTAAGGAGAGAATCTTAAAAGCAAGAAAAAAGAAGAGAGTTACCTACAAAGGACTTCCCATAAGGCTGTCAGCTGATTTCTCGACAGGAACCTTACAGGCAAGAAGGGGCTGGGAAGAAGTACTCAAAGTGATGAAAAGCAAGGACCTATAACCTAGATTACTCTATCCAGAATGGAAGGGCAGAAAAAGTGTTTCTCACACAAGGTAAAACTACAGGAATACATCATCAGCAAGCTATTATTACATGAAATGTTAAAAGGACTGACTTATTTAAGAAAAAGAAGATAAAAACTATGAACATTAAAATGATGATAAACTCACAACTATCAACAGCAAAATAAAAAAAACCCAAAAATAAAAACACACTAAGCAAACAACTATAACAAAAACAGAATAAAAGATAAGGAGATCATATGAAGGGTTATAGATCAGCTGGGAGGGAAAGGGGAAGAATGGGAAAAAAGTACAGGGATTAAGAAGCATAATTGGTAGGTAGAAAATGAGACAGGGGGATGTTAAGAATACCATAGGAAATGGAGAAGTCAAATAACTTATACACATGACCCATGGACATGAACTAAGATGAGGGGTTGCTGGAGGGAAAGGGGTACTGGGCAGAGTGGAGCCAAGGGGGGAAAGTTGGGACAACTATAATAGTATAATTAATAAAATATATTCTAAAAAAGCCAAGTATGATATGGATATCAAAATACTACATGGCAACAATATACCACTCATCCCCATCTTGTTTCAGGGGAAAAAATTAAAGGACCAGCAAATTTCCCAAACACTGCAATCTGTTTTTTAAGTATTTGTGGCTACTAATCTTTTTCTCTCAAATACGTCATATACCATCTTCTGGAATCCTCAAGGTGACTGCCTAAATCTATTTTTAAAACCTCCCAGTTTGTGACATACAAACTAAAAAGAAAATAAACAAAGTAGATCATTGAAATAGTATAAACCAACTGAAAATTAATTTACATTATAAAAATTTGATGCATCTAAATACCTTTCACTGGTGAATCCAAGACTATAAGTCACTTTTCATGACATTAAAAATTAAAATTCAGATATACCTGGAAATGTATTAATAAATAAATAGATCCATTTACCTGGTAAACCAGGGTCCCCCTTTTCTCCTTTTGAGCCCAGCAGCTCTGGATCCATTGGCCCAGGAGGGCCAGGAAGTCCAGGTTCTCCTTTACTACCTTTTTCTCCTGTAGGACCAGGAGGCCCTGGCTGACCCTGCAAGCCATCATCACCTAATACCAACAAGTGTGGAGAAGACAAAACAGATGATATTTATCCATCCAGAGTTAATTAATATAAATATTATTTATATCATATGTTCTATAGTTAGGTAGGCCACTGGCTAGCCAAAACACATTTTTATATTCAAATGACAATCTCTCTTTCTCTGGGGTTCTTTGACAATTACAGAGACTGTAAATAAAGTCAAAATTTAATTCCTATATTTTATCATTTACCATGTCTCATGGTATCCAAACTAAATATGCCACCAAATTGAACAAAGGACTTATTTAAATGCCATATCACATAGAAAAAAATGCAACCAACTAATGCTCATTTTGAAGCAGTCAAATAAAAATATACTGTATTGAAATACAGCAATGTTTAATTTTCTATCTTATATGCATCTGCCAGCAAACACTGTATATTACCTTTGAGACCAGGAACGCCACTTCTGCCAGGAATTCCCAAAGGTCCTGGTGGCCCTGGAGGTCCCATCACACCCATTTCACCTTTGGTACCTTTGAATAATATGGATAAGTAAATTTTACCTTTTCTGGACCTTAGAAAGATAAAAGATAAGTTGTAAGATATCAATTGGAAAACTATTGAGATTTGGAGGAAAAGCACTAAGTTTTTACTCCTCCTCTACTTTTGTAACTTAGTGACCACTACTGTTGATACCCACAAATAAAAAGCCTCAATGCAGTAGCTAATATTCAAAGATGGTCCTTCTTAAAGAATGACATGTCCCCATACACATACATTGTATAGCCTTCTCCCCTGGAATTTTGGCTGACTCTGTGACTTGCCCTTGACTAAATGACAATGTATGTGACACTGTATGACTCCCAAGACTAGATCTTAAGAAGTCTTGCAACTTCCACCTGGAGCTTTTAGAACATTAAATTTTGGTTTTGAGAATTATCTCCTTTGAAAACCAGCTGTCCTGAAAGGAGGGTAACCACCCCAACACTACCATAGTGCGTAATGACAATGCACCCACTTCATGCATGTCTCCTGACACTACCATGTTAGGAGACATTATAGATAATGAGATACTATGTGAACAGGCCAAGAAACACTCACTTGTCAAACAATTGCTATCTTGAAGTATATCCTTCACCCCCAACTACTCTAGCTGATGCCACTGGATTAGAGCTAAGAAACTCATTAAGTCATCCCTTAATTCCTGACCTGCAAAATCTTCAGCAAAATAAAATGGTTGACCTTAACCATTAAATTTTGGAGTTTTATATAGCAATATATAATTCAAATTCTCACAAAGTATAATGCAAATAGCAAAGTCACTTCCCATCAATCAAAAACATTTAACACCTTTCCTTAAGGGATAGTGTCAATCCAGAAAGTACAATGACAGAATAAGCCACAGTCACATCAGTTTTAATTTAATGAATCCAAAACCAGAGAAAACTTTAAACAAATTACCTGGTAATCCAGAGACACCTACTTTTCCTGGAGGCCCTGGCAATCCTGGGGGTCCCATATGGCCAGGTGCTCCAGGGATCCCCGGATTGCCTCTCTCACCAGGGGGTCCTGGAACATCAAACCCAGGAGGGCCAGGATCCCCCTTCTCTCCTGGTATTCCATGCAAGCCTAATTAATACAACATCATTGTTAACAAGCATTGAAGCAATTTTAAGAGACGTATCTAGTTATTTTCCTACCAATCAAGTACTAGAATCTGTATATAACAAACCTAACAGTGAGTTAGAAACATTTTTCACATCATGTACATAAAATGACCTAACAATCAAACTTAAAAATTTTCAAGTTCAAGGTTTGTCTGGAAAATGTCCAGCCATTGATAATATAATGAGAATAGTTTGCAAGACACTGATGTTACATGGAAAGCAAGGAGAGTGGACTGGAATATGCATGTGTGAACAATGACAACTTCACTGTACTAGTCAGTGGAGGCAGTAAATGCTGTTGACTGAGCATGTGTACTGTGTGGCTGTTGCATTCAAAATGACTGATCAAGTAAAGCAATGAATCTGCATCAAATTTTTTGTTAAGGTTGAACATTCCTCTCTGGAAACTGTTGGGATGATTCAGTAAGCCACTGATGATTGGCAGCTTCATCATGACAAAGCACCCACTTTATGCATCGTATCTTGTGCAGAGTTTTTTTGTGAAACATCAAATCACCCAGGTGACTCAGGCACCCTACAACCCAGATTTTGTACCTTGTGACTTCTCTGGTTTTTTCCCAAACTAAAGTCACCTTTGAAAGGGAAGAGATTTTAGACCATCAGTGAGATACAGGAACATATGACAGGGCAGCTGGTAGCAACTGGAAGAACTGTGTGAGGTCCCAAGGTGCCTACTTTGAAGGGGACTGAGGCATCGTTATTCTATGTACAATGTTTCTTGTATCTTCTTCAATAAATGTCTCTATTTTTCACTTTACATGGCTAGATACCTTCTGGACAGACCTCATATATTTCTCTAAGAAAGTACTTTTCAAATTAGATCTGGTGAAAGATCGATCATTTCTTAATTCCTAGTTTCTCACAGACTAATTTTTTTATAAAATTTCTAAAAAATAAAGTAAAAATTCAATGACAAATAGAATTGAGCTTACCTTTTAGTTATTAATTTCAACAAATAGAATTACACTGTGAAGTTGCTATAAAAGTTTCTAAATGCTTATTTTTAATTTCTACTAATTCCAATGTAGACTGGTAACAGTCTGTGATTCTAAACTGGTCCTTGAACTTACATTGCTCTAAGGTATTATAAATTATTGGGATATATATAATCCAAAAAGTGATTAATGAGTAAGTGAATTACATGGATCCTTTTAACTATATCTTGGCTTTGTATATGCTGTTTTAATAATTATTATTAGATTTTGTTGTTTTGTTTCTCAGTATTCTAGCCAGGGTTTTACAGAAAAAGATATGACACCACAAAAATATTTAACCTTAGTAAGTTTCTGGAAGACTGAGTTACTCTAAGAAACAAGGTGGTTAAAAATAATTTGCATAAGAAAAATAATTATACTACAAACATGGAGGGAGTTCCCACTCCAATAATATCATGTAACTTAGTGAGTCATTTAACATTGTTGGTCCTTGTCTGTTAAATGGGACATGTCATAACTGACTATAAGCTGGGGGCTGAGCAGGGGAAAATTATAAGCATCTCTTCAACAATAAGATCTCATTTTATTGTTGAAGATCCATAAGCAATTATTTTTGTTAAGAGAGCAATTATTTTTGTAAGATCTGTTTGATGTTATACACCAGTATGTCCTTAAACTGATTTGAGAATTCCTTTTAAATATTTTATTTATTTATTTTTAGAGAGAGGGGAAGGAAAGGAGAAAGTGAGAAAGAAACATCAATGTGTGGTTGCCTCTCATGTATCCCCTACTGGGGAACTGGCCTGCAACCCAGGCATGTGCCCTGACTGGGAATCGAACCAGTGACCCTTTGCTTCACAGGCCCATGCTCAATCCACTGAGCTACACCAGCCAGGCATGATTTGAGAATTCCTTTTACTTAACCAGTGGTTATGGTTCCATTGCCGAAATTTTATACTATAATACTATAAAAGAGAAAGAGGTTTTATATTATGATATTTGTGAAGTGTGGTGAGATACCTAATAATGAGCACTCCTATACTTCTGTATGAATCACTGCCTGTTATGTTATGGCCCAGGTAGTTTCTTAATATCTGAGTCTTCAAGATAACTTATTTATCCTTTGAAATATGACCAAAGACAATTATACAAAATAATGTAAGGAACCAAAAACCTAAAACCAGATAAATCATATTTGTTTTTTATGTTTAAAGCTTTACATTTATGATATAGCTTTTGAGAAGGAACTACAGTACCTGGTAGACCTAAAGTTCAAGAGGAAGAGTGTTACGGTTCAGCAGCAATATAAGCAAAAGAAACAAAAAAAAACAAAACAAAAAAAACCACAAGAAGCAAGTTACAAAAGAATCATTGGGTTAGGAAATAAAGCATGCAAAGATTAAATTTAAAATGTTTACAAATATATGTTAATAGATATTGATTTCCTACTATCATACATTAGTAATGCACAAAGAAAATTATTTTAGATATTAGCTCAGATATTCATATAGGATATTTTATAAATCAAATATATTTGCTGATAGAGACAGAATATTTACATTCACAAAAATTAAGTCTTTGAAAATGATCAGCTTTACACTTTTACTTATCTCTGATTTTTACTGCAATGAATAATCATTTTTAAAATTTTTGTTCAATTACAGTTGTCCCCATTTTCTCCCCATTATTCTACCCCACCCAACCCACCCCACCTCCCACTCCTTTGTCTCTTTGTTCATGAGTCCTTTATACATTTTGACTGACAACCCTTCACCTACTTTCCCCTGTTTTCCTCCTTCCTACTCTGGTTGCTGTCAGCTTGTTCTTTATTCCCACGTCTCTGGTTATATTTTGATTGCTCGTTTGTTTTGTTGATTAGGTTCCACTTACAGGTGAGATGATATGGTATTTGTTTTTCACCTCAAAAAAACTGAATAGTCATTTTGTAATTAAAGCTTCTAAGGTTTGTTAGAATTTAAAAATTAATTTGATTTTATACTGTTTCACAATAGTTATAGATAAGTCAATAGTTATTAGTGGATGACTATGGTTAAATAACCTACAGAAATATCTCTCTTTCAATTATTATTAGTAGTAGTAGTAGTAAAAAATATTATGCGATACACTTAACAGCTTTGATCTTTTCTATGCATATTGCCAGGAATGGTCATTCTGGCATAATCAGGAGGAAGAAAGTCAGTTAAATTAAAAACTCTGCTGAATCTCCTTATACAATTACAGGAATTATATGGGTATATCTATAGAAGTTAAGTACATTAGGGTTGTATAGGTACTCTAAATTTACTAGTAGCCAAATGGAACTAGTTAATGGGAAAAAAAGAAAAACTTCAAAAACATGTATTACCTGTGAGAAGTTTACACACACACACACACACACACACACACACACACACACACACTGCACAGAGGTTTTATAGCCAAGAAAGTTTAAACACTGTAATGTACTCTCATTCATTTATGAAAATGACATTAATATATCTTAGTTTCTTTGATTCACATTCGTCATGATGAACTTGAGCTATTCAGCCACATACTTTGTCCTGAGACTGGGCAAGCATTGTAATAAATTTTTGGATATGGAATTGAGTATATATAAATGACCACTAGAAAGATTCATTAAAACAGTAATCTTTTAGCTAATGGCCAAGTCAAATAACAAGAATCAAAAACTTCAAATTCTGCATGGGATGGAAAAGCAATTTGCTATTTTCCTTTGGCATTTTTTTCTTTTATTTCCCTGCTGTCAAGTGAGGAGCTGATGATATCCAACAGGTCCTTTATTTATAAACATGCCTTAAACTGCATAGTCCGCCTTGAAATAGAGAATGACAAATAGTAAAACATAATTAAATGATAGAAAATCAGTCAAAAGAAAAGACTGAAAAGCGTAATGCAAACATATACACTGGAGATAGGACAATATACTTTTCATTAACTACTATATTACAAAATAAAACACAGTAAGTGTATTAAATAAGCTTCTTATTAAATAATTGGTAGTAAGAATTTCAGTCATGCAGTATAAGTCAGGGCTATCAAGATATTAGTAATACTCTTGCTGATCATCATGCTATTGAAATGGATAAACAGAAATTATAATATTTTTGAAATCAGTTAAGATAATATTCAGCTTTGTTGATTTAATAAAATTTACTTTAAAGGTTGAAAATATATAGCTAGTATCAAATATAAAATGTGGCCTATCCTGTGGCAAAAAAAAATTGTGACTTAGCAACATTCTATATTAATAAGAATGAATTCAATACATTTTCATTCTAGTTGTTGTTAACTTCACTTGTTGAATAATATTTGTTTTAACTATGACTATCACTATTCTTGAGCTCTATGACAAGTATATACAGTGGTGGGCAAAAGTAGGTTAGTAATAATAATAAAAATATAATAAATAATAAGTAAATGATAATACAAAAATAAACTGTGTTTCACATACTCACAACTTGAAACCTACTTTTTCTCACCCTTATATTCACATAAGAGAGTAAATTCAGCACCATTATATTCTCCCTGTCCCATCTTACCTGGACTTTATAAATCAATATATCCATATAGGCATTAGTTTAAAAAAGAATGAGAGAACATTAGATAAATGAAACACTGTAGAATATTCGCTAAATTTGAAAAAGTGTGAATAAATGTATTTTTATTTTGTTCAGATTAGTGTTAACAGTGATCTCTTTTTATAGTTGCTAAGCTGTGATTGAATAATTAAAATTGCTTTCATGTGGTCTTTTGTGGATAGGCTTATTGCACTTAACATAATAGTCTCTAGTTGCATCCATGTAGTCAAAAAAGGTAGGAATTCCTTCCTTCTTTTTTTTAAAGTCTAAGTAGTTTTTTTATTGTTGTTCAATTACAGTTGTCCCAATTCTTCCCCCTTGCTCTTCCCTGCTCTGTCCACCACCCCTTCATCAGTCAGCCCCCATTCTGTTGTCCAATACCATGGGTCCTTTATGCATGTTCCTTGTCTTGACCCTTCCAATTCTTTTCCCCATTATCCCTCTCCTTCCTCCCCTCTGGTCACTATCAGTTTGTTCTTTATTGCCATGACTCTGGTTCTATTTTGCTCACTAGTTTATTTTGTTCCTTATATTCCTATTATATGTGAGATTATATGGTATTTGTCTTTCACTGCCTTACTTATTTCACCTATTATAACACTCTACAGTTTCATCCATGCTGTCATGAAGGGTAGGAGTTCCTTCTTTCTTTCTGTTGCACAGTATTCCATTGTGTAAATGTACCACAGTTTTCAAATCCACTCATCTAGTGATGGGCACTTGGGATGTTTCCAACACTTAGCTATTGTGACTAGCATGAACATAGGGGTGCATAAGTTCTTTTATTATTTATTTTTTTAAAGATTTTATTTATTTATCTTTAGAGGGGGAAGGGAAGGAGAGAAACATCAATGTGTGGTTGCCTTTCGTGCATCCCCTGCTGGGAACTGGCCTGCAGGGAACCAGCCTGCAACCCCAGTATGTGCCCTGACTGGGAATCGAACCTCAATTGTCTGGTTTGCAGGCCCGTGCTCAATCCACTGAGCTACACCAGCCAGGGCCATAAGTTCTTTTAAATTGGTGTTTCAGAAAGGCCAATACCATATGACCTGACTTATAACTGTAATCTAATGAACAAAATAAACTAATGAGAAAAACAGAATCAGAGACATGGAAACATGTAACAGACTGATAGTTGTAGGAAGGGAAGGAGGGGGAAATGGTGGAAGAAAAGGAAGGGGACTAGTTAAAGAATATGTATGAATGACACATGGACATGGACAACAACTAATTGAGGGTGGGCTAAAGGTGTAGGCTGGGTGGAAGGGGCAAAGGGGAAAATTCAGGACAACTGTAATAACATAAGCAATTTAAAATACAAAATAAATTAAAAAATGCTTTCAAAACCTCATGCAATGTGGGAAAATAAAAGAAATATCAAGAACCATCTGATTTCACTCATCTGTGGGACAGAAAATTTAAAACCACAAATAAACAAATAAAAAGTCCTCATAGAGACAGATACTACTATGGTAGTTACCAGAGGTAAGGGAATAGGGAGACATAGAAGAGGGTAAAAGGGACCAAATATACAGTGTTGGAAGGTGATTTGACTTAAGGGTGGTAAATATACAATGCAATATACAGATGACATATTAGAGAATTATACACTTGAAACCTATATAATTTTATTACACATTATCCCAATACATTTAATAAATATTTTTAAAAAGAAATGACAAAGCACAAGAAATTATAAATTCATTTTAGCCATTGTTGTGGAACTGCAGAAGACTATAATGGACAAACCCAAAAAATTGTTTTTCTCACCATCCTTCTGTACGCTAGTTAGAATGTCTTTATTTCTTGAGTGTTGGAGCAGCTACTTTCTAACAACCTGCTTCAAAGTAACACTGTAAATTTTCTCATTTTAAAATTAGTTGTGACATGTTAGGGGCTATAAAAAAAGGTACAATGTGCCATAAAATAATTTTTTAAATAGAACATAAACAATAGTAAACTTTACTTTCCAAGGTTTGTTTTATATTGTTAATTGGTGTTCCTACATTTTTAGCATAATAACTAACAAAATACCTACTGACATTTAGGGTCAGAAAATATATTTCCTTTGTTCAAACTCAATGTGTCTACATCATAACTGTGTGTTTAAGTCATCTGATGTGTTCAAGCTAATAAGGAGTGATTAAATGTTCGATATTTGTTTTAATTTTATGAGTTATTGCAGTGCTTTCCAATAACAATGTTGGCTCAAGAGTGGGCCTGACTGTGCCTGTCTGGATTAAGATAAAAATAATTCACATTAATAGATGGCTCAGAATCTACAACCTTGAGTAAGCAAACTCTCACATAAATGTAGAGGAACCATATGTTTCTCTAGTAGGTTACAAGATGACAAAAGGTTTTGCATATCCATGTAAGAAAAGTTTAGAGTGCTTATCAGTTGAGAAGTGATTGCTGATTTAGGACCATAAGAGGAAAAAATTCAACTCATTTTATTTAAAAATGAGAATGCCAAAAAATATTTTTAACAAAATGGTACCTAGTTTTATATGTTAACAAATGTTAAAGAGTTCCCATAGACAAAGGTCTATTAATGCTGTATATGTAGCTACTCAGGACTGAAATAATCATCACTAGACATTCTTAGGTCTGTGATTCCAGGCCAATGACTAGCATAATGATTATATGCTCTGACAGTATACTACAATTATGAAATTACATGATTGTTAATAGACCAATTTTAAATGCACAGAGAGGGGAAATATCAGAGATTAAGTATACAAGTAGACATATTACCTCTCAAATTTCTTTTCTGGAAGACTGTTACATATATTACACTTTATTGATGAGCTGAACAATATCTATACAGTGAGTGCTACTACAAAATATACATTTACTCCAATCTTACCAGGTGGGCCTGCTGGTCCAGGAATCCCTGGTGGCCCTGGTGCTCCCTGAACACCTATTCCTGGTAGCCCAGGAGGTCCCATTGGTCCAGGTTGTCCATTTGGTCCAATGTCACCTTTAAGAAATAAATATAGATTTATTTTGCATATAGATGTCCAATTGATTTGACATCCTTTATAGAATATACTTATTTTTATATTGGAATCACCCTTGCAACTTTGATAAAAATCAAATTGTGGAGCCCTATTGTTGCATTTGATTTGCTAATATTTCCATGAGGATATTTACATCCATGTTCACGAGAGACATTGATCTATAGTTTTTGTTTTTCCTTATAATTTCTTTGCCTTCTTTTGATATTAGGGTAATGCTGACCTCATACAATGATTGGTAAGCAAACCATTCCCTTCTACTTTGAAAAAGAAATAGTGTGAAACTAGTGCTGTTGCTTCTTTAAATTTTTGTTAGAATTTATCAGGAATTCCAAATGAACCTGTAGTTTTCTTTATTGGGAAAATTGTTTCATTATTTATTTTTATCGTATTTTTTCTCATTACCATTTATCACCCTTATACCCTCTCCCTCCCACAATCCCACACTGTTGTCTATCCATGAGTCCTTTTTCCTTTCTGCTTGATCCTTCCACCCCCTAACCTGCCCCCAGAGCTGTCATCCTGCTCTCTATCTATGAATCTACCTCTATTTTGCTTGTTAGTTCAGATTCTTCATTAGATTCCACATATGACTGAAATCATATAGTATTTGTCTTTCTCTGACTGGTTTATTTCACTTAGCATAATGTTCTCCAGGTCCATCCATGCTATTGCAAAGGGTAAAATCCTCTTTTCTACATCCTCATAGTATTTCATTATTGGGAGAATTTTAAATAGAAACTCAATTACTTTAAGAAATGTCTGCATTATGTCTTTCTTCTTCAGTGAGCTCCAGTAGTTTGTACCATTCAAGAAATTCATCTGCCCTGGCTGGTGTAGCTCAGTGGATTGAGCTCGGGCCTGCAAACCAGACAATCGAGGTTTAATTCCCAGTCAGGGCACATGCCTGGGTTGCAGGCTGGTTCCCTGCAGGCCAGTTCCCAGCAGGGGATGTGCAAAGGGCAACCATACATTGACGTTTCTCTCCCTCTCTCCTTCCCTTCCCCTCTAAAGATAAATAAATAAAATTTAAAAAAAAAGAAATTCATCTACTTCATCTAAGGGGTCAAATATATGAGCATATAGTTGTTTGTCATAGTGCCTTATCATTCCTTTAATGTATGTACGGTATGTAATAATGGTCCTTTTTTCATTCCTAATATTGGTAATGTTTCTCATCTTTTTTCTTGGTTGGCCTCACTAAAGATGCATCTGTTCTATTGATCTTTTCAGAGAATCTCATAAAGTTTTTCTATTGTTTTTCAATTATCAATTGCATTTTTATCTGCTCTTATAGTTATTATAGTTGGCTTTTCTTGTCTACCTTCTTAGGGGAAAAATTAAATAACTTATTTGAGATTGTTCTCTTTTCTAATAAAGATTTCCATAAATGAATTTTTTCTAACCACTTCTTTATCTGCATTCTACAAATTTTGTTTTGTTTTCATTAAATTCAAAATACTTTCTATTTTATATGCCAATAATAAACTATTACAAAGGGAAATTAAGAAAACAATCAAATTCATCATTGCTTCAAAAAGAATACATGCAAAATACTAACAATAAATTTAACTAAGGATGTGAAAGACCTGTACTTGGAAACTTATAAAACACTGAAGGAAGATATTGAAGAAGATACAAATAAGTGGAAGTGCATACCATGTTCATGGATAAGAAGAATTAATATCATTAAAATGTCAATGCAACCCCAAGCAATGTATATATTCAATACAATTCCTATAAAAATTCCAATGATATATTTCACAGGACTAGAACAAATATTTCAAAATATATGGATTCACAAAAGGCCTTCCATAGCAACAGCAATCCTGAGAAAGAACAAAGTTGGAGAAATAACACTACCTAATATCAAACTATAAGGCCATAGTAATCAAAACAGCATAGTCCTAGCATAAAAATACACATGGATCAATGGAACAGAATAGAGTCCAGAAACAAACCCACACCTTTATAGTCAATTAATATTTGATAGAGAAAGTAATCATATACAATGGGCTAAAGATGCCTTATTCAATAATTGGTGTTGGAAAATTTGGACAGATACATGAAGAAAAAATGAAACTAAACTACCTTCTTACACCACACACAAGAATAAATTCAAAATGGATTAAAGACTTAAATGTTAGACCCTAAAACCATAAAAATCCTAGAAAAAAACATAGGCAGTAAAGTCTCAGACATTGCATGTAGCAAGAATTTATCTGATATGTCTCCTCAGACAAGGGCAACAAAATAAATAATAAATAAATAGGACATGAAACTAAACGTGCAGCAAAGGAAATCATGAACAAAATAAAAATACAACCCATGGGATAGGAGAACATATTCAACAATACACATGACAATAATATCCAAAATTTATATAACACTTATAAACTCAATACCACAAAAACAATCCAAGTAAAAAATGGGTAAAGGACCTGAATAGACACTTCTGCAAATAAGTCATACGGAAGGCCAACAGACATATGAAAAGATGCTAAATGTCACTAATCATCAGAGAAATGCAAATTAAAACCACAGTGAGATACCATCTCACACTTGTCAGAATGGCTATCATCAGTAAATCAACAAACAGCGAGTACTGGTGAGGATGTAGAGGAAAGGAAACACTTTTGCATTTTTTGTGGAATATGAAGATAACTCAAAAATTGAAACTGGATCTGCCTTTTGACCCAGTGATCCCATTCCTGGGAATATATCTGAAGAAACCCAAAACACTAATTTGAAAAAGCGTAAGCACCCCAATATTCACCGATACATTTTCAACAATTGCCAAGACATGGAAGCAGCCCAAATGTCCATTAATAGATGATTGGGTTAAACAACTATGGGACATTTACACAATAAAATGTTATTCTGCTGTCAAAAAGAAGAAATTTTAACCTTTGTGACAACATGAATGGACCTTCAGAACATTATGCTAAGTGAAAGTAAGCCAGTCAGAGAAAGACAAATACAATATGATTTCATTCATATGTGGAATCTAATAAGAAAATGAACTAACAGGCAAGATAGAGAAACACTCATAGATGGAGATCAGGGTGACACCTCTCAGGGCATTAGGAAGTGGTGGAATCTAGTAAAAAGGAAAAAAGACTCATTGATGTGAAAAACAGTTTGGTGATTGCCGGTGGTAGGGGGCTTAAAGTGGGTAAATGGTAATGGAAAAAAATATTTAAAAAAACTTTCTAGTTATTCCTTTTGGTTAATGGATTATTTAGAAGTATTTTGGTTATTTTCTAAATATGTCAGGGTTTTTTTCAGATAGCTTTCTATTACCGATTTCTGGTTAAATATGGTAACAGAAAGAGACTCTACTGTCTCATTTCAATGTTTTTAATTGTCCAAAGTTTGTTTAATTGGCCCAATTGTGGTCCATCATGGTGAATGTTACATTTGCACTCAGAAAGAATATGTTGTCTGCTCTTTTTGTATGGAATGTTCTATAAATGTCAAAGTTGAAGAGTGAGGCTGAAGAGATATTCCTGACATTGCCCTGCTAAAATACTGTATATCTTATCCTTATATACTTCTACATGAAGACTATGCCCATGATAGTTGAATAGTCTTCAAACATCTATTTGGATTGAACACCACCTGATATTGGGCTTTAAAATACTCCAATTTTCTATCTTGTATTTTATATTCCTTTATTAAAAGGAATTGCCAAAATTTTATAATCTTAATGTGTCACAAAAATGAATCTTTCCTGGTTTCCCTCATTTGCTCATAATTTTTTTTAAAAAATTATTTTCCTCATTATTTATTGTATTTTATTTCCATTACCATTTATCCTCCTTGTACTTTCTTCCAACACTACCCGCCCTTTCTACCCCTACAATGACCACCCTTTTGTCCATGTCCATCAGTCCTTTTTCTTTTTGGCTCAATTCCTCTATTCCCCAGCCAAAACCTCTTATATCTGTCAGCCTGCTCCCTATCTAAAAGTCTGTCTGTGTTTTGCTTGTTAGTTCATTATTATTTACTATTGTAATTCCTTTTTATACATTGTACATTTGGGATTTATTTAGTGGAGATTACTTAATTACCAACTTCTGAACAATCTATTCTTTCCCTATTGACCAAAGATGATATTTCTATTAAACATCAAGTCTCTGTATATACATCAGTATATTTCTGCATTTTATTCTACTGATCTACTTGTCTGTTCCACTACTGGTTCACAAAGTCATAATTAAAATAAATTTTAGATTTTATATATATATATATATATATATATATATATATATATATACTGAATATTGTTTTTTTATTGCTGTTCAAGTACGGTTGCCTCCATTTTCCCCCCAGTACTCTCTCCCGACCCACCCACCCCAACTCACACCCTCAATCCTACACCCCTTTGGCTTTGTCTATGGGTTCTTATACATGTTCCTTGAAAACCCTTCACCTACCTTCCTCCACAATCCCCCTCTCCTCTCCCCTCTGGCTGTTGTCAGCTTATTCTTTATCTCCATGTCTTTGGATATATTTTGCTTGCTTATCTGGTTTGTTGATTATATTCCACTTATAAGTGAGATCATACGGTGTTTGTCTTTCACCACCTGGCTTATTTATTTCCCTTAGCATAATGCTTTCCAATTTCATTCATGCTGTTGCAAAGGGCAGGAGCTCCTTTCTTTCTGCTGTGTAGCATTCCACTGTGTAAATGTACCATAGTTTTTTTTTTAAATTATTTTTCAAGTACAGTTTTCTGCCTTTTACTCCCTTCCCAGCCCACCTCCCCGGTGCTCCCCTCCTCCCTCCCATTTCTATCCCCCTTAGCTGTCGTCCATGTGTCCTTTATACTAGTTCCTCAATCCCTCCCCTTTTTCCCCTGAAATTCCCTCCCCTCTCCCCTCTGGTCACTGTCCCCCTGTTCTCTATTTCAGTGTCTTTGTTTTGCTTGCTTGTTTGTTTTGTTGTTTAGCTTCCTGTT